GTATGTAAAGGTGGTAGACCCCATGTTCATGAAGAACTGTCTGGTGAGTCTTCACTTTGCACGCCGCAGGTGAGCTGCTGGTCTTTTCAAGGAGTATATTTTTTGTGATAAAAAATAACATATTTCTCTTTACAGACCTCGTTCCCTGTATAAAGAGTTATGGGGTCATGTCAAGGTAATAAAGGTAAGGTAACTTTATTGGATTATTAGGGCCCTGAAGTTCCCCGTTAGGTGGCCAGAATGATAACTATGTTAGCCTTCGGGCTACTAGCCACCTCAGGGTAGAGTAGTTGGTCTCTCTCTGATAGAATGTTTACTTAGAGTGTTGACTGACGCTAGAGCTTCAGATAGATCTTATGTCCGGCCCATGGGACCGTTTTGACTTTTCTGAGTATTTCGCCCCTTGAGCTCTGTTGAGTTTTCATTAGGTTGAGCGTTCTGCAGCCCTTTGTATGGAATAATACAGACTATATTCTTTAGTAGGCTGTGGCTCCTCTGAGCCCTCAGATAGATCTATGCTTACAGGTTGGCCCTCACCAGGGCCGCCTCTGTAGCTGGCCTAGGCTGTGCCAGGGATATTAGAGGCGTTCTGCTAAAATTAGCATTTCTTCCTCTGACCCTTCACTTTGTGAATGTAGGTTTTGGCATCCCTGTATAATCAGCCTCCTCCCATGGGAGTCGTTAGGCCAAGGCCCGCCCCCTTCTCTGCATTCTGGGGTGACTAGAGTAATGCAGCGTGGTGCAGAGGATGGTTTATAAGGACATGGTAGGCCTCAGTTAGGCCTCCGTGGTATATAAGTCCTTTTGAGCAGGGTTAGGCCGTCTTTCGCTTCACGAAGAAGACTGAGTCTCCTGCCCGACCCTGCCGTGCAGAACTGGCCTACGGATTTAGGCCGCCAGTGTAGGCTTCACTAATACCTTGCTGAGCTACTGCTCAGGCTGTGGGTTGTAGGTGGTTGGCTTTCATTCAAGCCCCACTCCCCTAGGTTGGGCACAGATGTTTTTCTGTTACCCCTAGAGCCGCTGGCAGGCCCGCACCCTGGTAAACTCAGGGTGAGGTGTGAGTATTCCCCTGTGATTCAGGGTAGGTCTGAGCACTTCACTCCCAGTTCTGTTTTTATCCTACCTCGCACTACTATGGCTCGGGTCGAGTATGAAGTAAGCCTTCACTTCTTCCTTGGTCGAAGTTCGCTCCCCTGAAGCCAGAGCATTGCCCTGTGCTGACGCCCATGCATAGATGGTAGGCCCCTGACTAACTGGGGCCTCCACTGAGGCAGAGTGACGTATGTTGTACTCCCCTTGTTCTAAGGGTATTAGCTCTCTATGCTGAGTACACTGCCATGGGCAATGTGATTAGGCACCAGGATGCTGTAGGCGCTGTGTAAACAGCTTATCTGCCAACGAAGGCTGCGCCATCAGGTAGTAGGCCTCAGCAGGCCTCCTTGTATGGGCAGCCCCCAATAGGGCGCTGTAGGCCACTTCTCGAGATAAATGGTTGGCTTTGGTGGTTCGGGCAGTTGACTCACCGGTGGGTAGTAGGCCTTAAACAGGCTTCCTCTGAGGTGAGTCCCAACATTGTGGGACATACTTTATAGCTGCTACAGGTAGCTAGCCGTACTAGGCCTCCTGTGGGTGGGCCCAATAGTTCCATTGGTGTGGTATGGTTCCCAACAGTGTTCCTTTGTAGCAGAATTGACTTGCTGTCAGCTAGTAGGCCCAACCAGGCCTCCCTGATAGGCGAGTCCCCAGCTGGCTGGCCTTAGCAGGCCACCTTGGAACTGTCACCCGGACTCAGCTACCAGTTGCTATCAGGTGGTAGGCCCCTCAGGCCTCCCTGAAGGTGAATTCCCACTTAAGATGGTTATCAGGTAGTAGGCCTCACCAGGCCTCCCTGAAGAGACAAGCCCAATGACGGGCAACTGGACAGCTAGCCTGGCTTACTATCAGGTAGCAGTAAAAAGCTCCCAGATATTATGGCTGTCAGGTAGTAGGCCTCACTAGGCCTCCCTGAAAACGAGTTCCCACATGCTGTGATTATCAGGTAGCAGGCCTCACCAGGCCTCCCTGAGGGTGAGTTCCCCACGTACTATCGCTATCAGGTAGTAGGCCTCTCTAGGCATCCCTGTAGGTGACCACATACTGTTGCTATCAGGTAGTAGGCCTTACCAGGCCTTCCTGAAGGTGAGTTCCCACAGACTGTAGCAATCAGGTAGTAGGCCTCACCAGGCCTCCCTGAAGGTGAGCTCCCCACATACTGTGGTTGTAAGGTAGCAGGCCTCACCAGGCCTCCCTGAAGGTGAGCTCCCCACATACTGTGGTTGTAAGGTAGCAGGCCTCACCGGGCCTCCCTGAAGGTGAGCTCCCCACATACTGTGGTTGTAGGGTAGCAGGCCTCACCGGGCCTCCCTGAAGGTGAGTTCCCACATACTGTGGTTGTCAGGTAGTAGGCCTCTCTAGGCCTCCCTGTGGGTGACCACATACTGTTTCTATCAGGTAGTAGGCCTTACCAGGCCTCCCTGAAGGTGAGTTCCCACAGACTGTAGCAATCAGGTAGTAGGCCTCACCAGGCCTCCCTGAAGGTGAGCTCCCCACATACTGTGGTTGTAAGGTAGCAGGCCTCACCAGGCCTCCCTGAAGGTGAGCTCCCCACATACTGTGGTTATCAGGTAGTAGGCCACTCTGGGCCTCCCTGAAGGTGGAGCACCCCACATACTGGGGTTATCAGGTAGTAGGCCTCTCCGGGCCTCCCTGTAATGTTTCTCTAATGGTGCTGGGTTTATGAAGCTAGTGGCCTCTTGCTATCAGTTTCAGCTAGCCTTAATAGGCAGCTGCTGAGGGCGAGCTTGCGCCCTGGCTCGCTAAAGTGTTTATTCTCTGCTATTTGTTCCCTCCTGGAACCTTTCCTGCCTACAGCCTGGTTTGCCTACCAGGCAGACCTTGTGCTCCCCTCACTGAGGGTCTCTATGAGCATGCGGCTTCCTGAGTCTGGTCAGACGGTCGTAGGCCTCTCGTGAGGCCTCCCGGTTAGATCAGCCATTAGGCCTTCACAGGCCTCCTCAGTGTTTGCAAACACTGGGTTGATCCATGGATCGAGTAGAGAAACTCCCCTCGCTAGCAAGGGTCATAAAGCACTATGCTGAGTCATACTCTCCGGGATATCCCGTCTCTGAGATCCGGGCCGAGTGGTTCACTGCCAGCGTCGCAGTCCCTCGGGTTGGATGCCTTACTTAAGGCTTTTTTCCAGAGGCTCTGTCTTCGGACAGACAGGAAGTGGCCAGACTAAGTGTCTATGTATCTGACGCCAGGTCAGGCCGTCCTGGTGGCATATCGGGGTGAGTACGTTCCCCTGAATAGTGACTGGCTGGGGTTCCTTCGGATTCCCTAGCCACATTCCCTAGAAGGGGCCCCTTCTAATTGAAGTTGTGGTCCTAGGCCTTTGAGCAGGCCCAGGTAGGCTTTCATTTAACTATGTTTATGGAGGTTTTCCTGTTAGGCTTATAGCTTGGGCTATGACCGTAGGGAATGCTGTCACTGACAGCCCAGTGTGACCTGAGGGTGAGTGGTTCTAGCATTTCATTTGAATTTGCTGGTTCGGACAGTTGTCACTGCCTGAGGGCATGCACTCCCCTCAGCATGGCGGCGTGGGTATATCGTTCCCCATAACGTCGATGACGTATTGTTGAGTTCCCTTCAAAAGGGAACGTCTCAGGTTACAAATGTAACCTTTGTTCCCTGAGAACAGGGAACGAGACAATACGTCTCCCTGCCATGCCTCGGGGCTTGCCTGCCGTACAGTCCCTTCAGACGATAAGGTGATTTGTCATGTTTGCAAGGCGCCCTTATATACTTCCAGGTCGCACGTTAATCATTCACGCTAATGATTCACGGGCTGTCGCCGGTCAATGTGATTGACGTGATTTGATAGTGATTTCAGACACCTGTCACGCCTGAGGCGTTCCCCATAACGTCGATGACGTATTGTCTCGTTCCCTGTTCTCAGGGAACAAAGGTTACATTTGTAACCTGAGACGTTTTCTAACAGGGTAGTAAAAGTTTAGCTGGCTAAATATGAGCTGTTACTGTGGCTGAGCTGGTTAAAGCGTAAAGCCTTGTTTAAACTCGACGCGTCCGCATGATATGAGCCCAAAGGTGCGCGCGGCAAAAATGACATGATTGAAACAGCGCGCCTCCGCATCCCCTAGACACCATTTACACACAATAGGCTTTTTTCTCTGATTTTGAAAACTCTTCGCGATCGACTAAAAATGCTTCCAAGATCGACTTGTCGACCGCGATCGACGGGTTGGTGATTCCTGTAACATACTGTTTTACGGTCAATGACAAGAGTACTAATCAGCTGTCTCACGAACGTAACCAGCACATTTATCCCCACATAGCAAAGCCATAACACAGCGAGGGAGAAGAACTAAGTTACATGAAACAGTTCAACTACATATTTTACACCACTGACAAGGGAAAAGTCACTACTCACGGTGTTTATGGCTAGCTTCTAGGTTTCTGCGGCTTCTCTTTCAAGGTAGTGACGAAACGCGCTCTTTCAAGGTAGTGACGAAACGCGCTCTGTAGCGCTGTTTGTTCGCGTTCGGCTACTGTAGAAACATGAAGTCACAATATGTCGACCTTCATAGAAGGGGGTGCCCGCGGTTATGTAGTTATAAATGTCTCATTCTAAGGTAATAAAAACATTACGGTTTATTAAGTAAGTTCTTTATACACCTCTGAAAACATAGTTATGGATGTCATATTGCATTTCTGTTAATAGATACTCAAAATTATTACACATTGCACCTTTAACCACTTGGAACAAGAATGATTATTAGTCAATAATAACAAGTGTGAGCAAATGAAAAAACAAAACAAAACAATGCATGATACAAAATACTTTCAACGAGTATCAAAACACTACATTCCAACACACTCTCTCTCTCTCTCTCTCTGTGTCTCTCTCTCTCTGTCTCTCTCTCTCTTCTCTCTGGGAGGGATTAGAGTGGCCACATGTTGGCCGGCGGAGGTTCGCTGTGGCTCCAGGCAGGCGCGCGGGCGCTGTTGCTCATGGTAACTCGATCGCTGGCGGCCGTGAAGCTGTTTGATTTATTCCCCAGCTCCAGCAGATGGCTGCAACAGAAGTTTGTTTAAGTTCACTTCATAGCCGGGCTGGCTGCCAGGACAGAGTCTCGCACACACAAGAAGAGGAAGAGGGGGCTGGAAGCTGAACACATGCCAGAAGAATGTTCAGTGACTCCGGGTGTCTAACCACACCACTTACCCCCTTCCAACCTCACACACACACATACCTCACACACACACACACACACATTTCTCAGACCTTTCACATTTTTCACAAATACTGCAACACACGTATCCCCCTCAAACTGATACTGACCCACATTCCCACACATCTTCCATTGATTTCCTTTTTTTTTTTTTTTGCCTTTTTCCACTCTGTCGCAAACACATTCCGCTCAAACAAACACATCCACTGTGACACCCACACCTCATCTACTTTGATTAGGTTGTGAAGATGCTAAAGGTGTCTGCCCAAATGCTGCTGAATGGAACCATATGGTCGTTTCTTATTCTGCTGCTCATTTAAAGTCATTATACATAGAGAGAAATATCTTATTTACTCTGATCTCACAATGCATTTACATATTTTACTGTTGAAATCAAAACTCTCATCTACTTTTTTGTTCTTCTTACGTAACTTATCTGTAGAAAAAAGTCTGTTGAAAATTCTTTTTTTTTATTTTTTATTACCCAGTAAGCAAATTTGATTACAAAGGAAAGAGTTATGGTTCAAAGTTCTTAAAGTATCCTAATGGTTTAATAATTACATCTCTCATCGCACTCACAAATTTCCCAATAAATATTTTATTACACTCAGAAATACGACACATTACGGAAGTTGAATGACATTTGTTTATAATTATACGGTTTCTTCTTTTTGCTTGGGAAACCTGCAGTGATTAACAGGTGAACTTGAGCTGAGTCTCTCACTGTTTGAAACATGTTTGTGTTCTAGCATTGCATATATTCACACTAGTCCATATACAGTTTAAGGAAATAAGTTTGGGTCTGATAATAGGAAACAGATTGTGGCAGGGGGTGATTGTGTGAAGAGAAGTGTGAATAATTTGAGCCAAAAGCATGACCAGATGCACTTAAGATCACAACCTACAGTATGTGTGCAGTTCATTATTTTCTGTGTCTGTTGGTGTCATGCGGTGAGTTGATCTTCGTCAAGGCCTCAGAGGAAGATTTTGAACTTGGAAAGATGATACAGGACTGTTAACTGAAACAATATTTTAGAAATATCTTCCCTTCTATGCTTTTCATTTTCCATGAAGAATATGACCAGAATCTTAGTCATTTTATTTCACGATAACAATATTTTTGTCATAGTATCCTTTCAACATTTAGGGGGATTTTCCGTGACTGGCGCCAGCGCTGTTCAATGCATTGCATCAATGCCATTGATCTCTAAAGTGAAACATCAGCTTCAGCGTTACCCACGTGACTCGATGCTCAACAATTGAGCCTTGTGATGTGGCACTCAGTTAATTTAATTTCACCACCTTGTTTCATTCATAAATGAATCAGCGTTTTAAGCGTATTATGCCGCCACCTAACAATGCAACTGCAATGACTAATAGCCTGTGACTGTCTAGCACACACAGAGACATGTGCCAGTGCTAATACTTCTGAAATATTAGCACTTTTGGAAAGCCTCTTGTCCAGTCAATTTGTGAATCGGAACTAACTGTTAAAAATATATTAGTAGCCCTTATATAGCAAAATAATAATAACAATATTAATGTGGTGATATTGCTTATCACAATATTGAGACACTCAATATCACTGTAATGGAAATTCCTTCATCGCGACAGCCCTACTTGCCAAAACAGTTATTTTTACATTTTTATGTTAATTTGACCATTCAGTTAAAGGGAACTGCAAAAACTGCAAAACTACTATTCACCACTTGCAAAATGGGCTTTTAATAAAACCTGGCTGCCTATGTGGTAGAAAGGTGATTATTATTTTTTTTTTAAATCGGTGACTAAACAGAGAACTTGTCTTGTTGTCTTTCCCTTTGCCAGATTGGTAGAAAAACACCCATAATGCACTTGCTATCCATGGCCACTCCAAGTCTGAGAAGGACGGTTCAGCACTGGTCACATGTCACAAGGGGTTTCAACTATATAATGTTTATTTTATGTTTCTGACCCTTAACCCTTTCATGCGTAAGTGTAAAATATGCTAAGTGACCCCCAGAGCGACCGTTATTCTAGAAAATTCCCCCTTAATGTTTCCATGGCGACGCGTCATATTTGTCACGTGACACACCGCAGCCACAATAACACTGTAAGACAGATGTATCGCTTTTATTTAGTTTTTCCTTTTTTATTCAAAATATTCACAAATTTGCTTACCATGTCATCAACTATCTGATACTCCGATTCTCACATATGTGTAAGTGAGTGTGTTTGGCCGTTTAAAAACCTTTATAAATAATCTTGATCTTGATCTATAACGTGAGATGGGCGCCACAATGTTTCTTTGCGCCGCAGTTCAGAGAGTCCAGTCAGTCATCAGTTTCTCCCGAAATACATATAAGAAAGTGGCCGGTGAACTGTGAGAAGAATAGAGTAAACTTTATAGTTACTTCCACTATGTTTGTCTGATATGAACAACACATGTCGGCAAAAATTATATTTGAATAGATTGTTATTGCTGCTTCCACAGACACAAATGTGTATTTTACAAAATCCAATTGTATTGTTTTACTGGTGCTTATGTGTACTTAAATGTCTGAAACCTCAAATAAACATTATGTGGTTGAAAACACTGCATATTGTGATATATGACAAGCGCTGAGCGCATCTATCTTGACGTCACTGAACATTCTAAATCCCACATGTGGGACCATACTCTCAGGGGCACAGAAATAAGAATCCCATATATGGGACCGTACCAATCAAAAGGTTAAATACATATAAGTACTAGCAAAAAACATTTAAAGTAATAATCGGCAATAATCCTTTCAAATATAAACACATTTTAGCCTGCTGTTAAAATGACTTTTACTGGTCGACCATAGTCAGTGCACATTAGGTTTGCAGGACTTCAAAGAACAGCCTCTGATTCACAAAATGTGCTGTCAAACGCCGAGAAAAGGGTGCAGTTTGTCTTGCAATGTTAGTGCTTTGTACAAAATACCTACTTGCTTGAGTAGGAAATACTTCTTTGCAAACTTTTAATCACAATGGTGTTAACTTGTATCATTTCTGGGTGCAAGAATTCAAAAACTAAACATTAAGCGGGTTAAGCGAGTTATTTTCGGTTTCCAGTGAAGGATCCAGAGTATTGTAGGCAGTGGCTAAAGGCTGCAAAGAATCGTAAATTTGGTGAGAACACTGCTACAGAAAATCTGATGTTGTAGTCTCTATTTCAAACAGGATGACTAGAAGTGTTTTAGGCCAAACAGAGGGGAAAGTGTTCCGTCAGTTAATTAGGAAGAAAAGGAACAGGGAGCACCGTCTGCTCAACTCCCCAAGCAAAATGCCATCAGATGAGAAGGTTATTACCATAGTATTTTTTACCATAATGCTGTTTAAAGAGTAGACAGAGTATGATACAAAAAAAGGATGTACCTAAAGCATGTGAGTAACACATTTAGTCCATTTTGTGGCTTGATGCACTTTTAGTAACTCTTTTTATCAAAGCATGACCTGCAGTTTAGCAACAGTATTCTATTTGTTCCATTAATTATGCACAGCCGATTTTTCACTTACAACAAATGAAACAGAAGTAGCAAATACTATCAGTAGCCTAAAAAATTCTAAGGCCATGGATATCTATGGCCTTGATACCATTTTTTTAAAAAGGCACAAAGAGATCCTTATACAGCCCATTACATATCTGATTAATCAGTCCTTAAGACAATCCATTGTGCCATCAGCATGGAAAATGGCCCTGGTGACACCCATTTTTAAAACAGGTGAAAGATCAGATATGGCCAATTATCGTTCAACAGAACCAGCTAACTGTTTATTTATGGAAAAGGTTAAAGGCTACCAAGATAAGAGTTCTTATGTTGGTGCTGTCTTCCTGGACCTAAAGCGAGCTTTTGATAATGTTAATCACAAAGTTATTTTATCTAAATTAACATCATTTAATTTCTCTGAGCAAGACTGGCTTACTAAGTCATGTCTCTACCTAAACACCAAAGAAAAACATTCTGTATGGCATTTACCAAACAAAATATGAAGGTGTCACATTCGAATGTGTTCCTTAGAGCACAGGAGCTAGATATTGTTAATGAATTCAAGTATTTAGGAGTCATATATGACTCAACCCTAACATTCAAACATCATGTAAAAAAGGTGGCAAATAAAGTTAAATTCAATTTGCAGAATTTTAAACAAATTAGGCCATTTCTTGACACCAAAGCTGCCAAGTTGTTCTTACATACTATGATTGTTTCACATATTGAGTATTGTTTTACAAATTGGTCATTAACTAGCATATCTACTCTTAAAAGCATTGAATCTCTATTTAAGAAAGCCATAAAAACTTTTGATAAAAAGCTATTGTCATTTCACCATTGCGATATTTTAGAGAGACATACATTTTTAAGCTTTGACAATTTCAAATGTTTCAAGTATGCTTATTTGGTATATAAAGTCTTACATAATCTTTCTTTTTCCAAAGACTTGAAAGTGGAGGTAGTACACAGGCTTCTGTAAAAGGGGACTGTGTGATACCATTTAGACGCACCACTTTTGGACAAAACGTATTGTCAATAATAGGCGGTAAACTCTGGAAAAGCTTGCCCCTCCCAAAAAGAGAGTGTCCTACATTCAACACCTTTAAACCTCAATTAAAACAGTGTCTCCTAGAAAACCATTCAACCAGCTGAAAGTTTTGTACTGTTTTTTATAAAACACTATTTTTTTATTTAAAATAGACTAGTATACTGGCCACCCTTAATCAGAAGTGATGTGTTTGTAGCTCTAGGGAAAGTACAAAGGGAAAGCAGTAGTCAGATTTATGAGTGTCTCGGAGAGCTAGGGGTTAGCAACGGGGGCACGTAGACCAGTTTCCTCCCAGAGGAAATACACCCCCCCTCCTCCTCCTCCTCAGGTCATGTGTAGCAGTAGATAGTGCTCATTCACCAGGTCAGGTTCATGTTCCATACCAAACATTCTGGCTAAGACTGCTCATTGGTTACCGAATCATGTATCTTATTTAAAGGGTAGTGAAACTCGCAATTTAAAAAAAAAAA